AAGTGTGGGCCACTAACCTGGTGGCAGGAGAGTGGGTGAAGGCAGCTGGGCCACTCAGAGGGCCATGGTTGCTCATGGGGGCTCTTGTCCAGTGTTTGTTGCTTGAAGAGGTTAATATTTTGGGATAGAAACCCTTACAGGATGTTCTTTCAATGGGGAGTTCAGCTCTAGTGCTGCCTTTTCTCAGTCATGTTGTTTTGCCAAACTCCCTGTAATACACCATGTGACTTACATGGACGAGAGTATCCAGGGCTGTTGCAGTGAGCCATTATTTTTCCTTCTAAAAAGTTAACTTCAGCCCTAAAGTTAGACAAGTCTTACAGTTTCTAAAAACAAGAATGAGATCTGGGTTGTAGGTTGTACAACACCTTTGTTTTTAGTTCCTTTTTGTTTGTTTTCTTTATCTTTTCTTATGAGGCATTCCTTATTCTTGTTGTGATCAGTCGTGATGGTTCGTATATTTCTGCACTGATTATCTTTTCTAAGTTAAATACAGGTGTTAACTAATCTCCCCAGCATTCCTGTGAGGCAAGTAATGAAATCAGATACAGAATAGAATCCGTGTTTCCCAGGGCCAGGCAATGAGTCATTCTGTGTAGCTGGGACTGGACTGTGGGTGTTCCTGTCCTCCAGCACCGTGCTCCTCTTCCTCAGCCAGGCGTCCTTCCCACACTGAAGGGAGTAGCCAGGCGAGTGCAGCTTCAGTAAAGACAGTTGTAAGTGATGAGTTAGCCAAGACTGAAGATTTTTCCAGGGATGTTGTAACACAGCTGTGGAGGCTCCTCCAATTAAGCCTCTGGCAAATGCTGTTTGCAGAGGAGCAGGGACGCGAAATGTGGCTAGCTGGACTAGGGAAGTAATAATACCCCTGTACTGGGCACTGGTGAGGCTGCATCTCAAATCCTGTGTTCAGTTCTGGGCCCCTGACTTTAAGAGAGACATCGAGGTGCTGGAGCGGGGCCAGAGAAAGGCAAGGGAGCTGGTGCAGGGCCTGGAGCACAAGTGTGATGAGGAAGGGCTGAGGGACCGGGGGGGTTTAGTCTGGAGAAGAGAAGGCTCAGGGGGGACCTTATTGATCTCTGCAACTGCCTGAAAGGAGGTTGTAGTGAGGTGGGGTCGGTCTCTGCTCCCAAGGAACAAGTGATAGGATAAGAGGAAACAGCCTCAAGCTGTGCCAGTGGAGGTTTAGAGGGATATCGGGAACAATTCCTTCCCCAGAGGGCGCTCAGACATTGGAACAGGCCGCCCAGGGCAGGGCTGGAGTCACCATCCCTACAAGTGTTCACACACCATGTAGATTAGGCCCTCGGTGACATAGGTTAGTGGTGGGAAACGGTTGGACTTGATGATCTTTAAGGTCTTTTCCAACCTGGCTGATTCTTGCCATGGTTGGGCTACAGTCATGTCTTAGTGTGGCCCCGTGGATTTCTTTCTTTGGCTTTATTAGGCTTTCCCTTCAAAGTCTGCAAAATCTAAGTTTGCAAAAAACTGTATGAGGAAAAAATATGTTTTGAGGTGAACCTTGTGCAAAAGAGCTTGATTGATAATAATGAGAAATGGTAATAATGAGAATATGGTCATGAGAAATGACCCCTATGTTATCTGCAGCTAAAGCTATACTTGTTTTTATTAGAAGCCTATGTGCAAATTCACCCATGTACTTGATTTTCTGGCACCTCTTGGTGAGCTGCCTTGTGTCAGTATGCAATTGCTTTACCATGGGTCAAGTACCAAAGCCCTGCACTGCAAACAAAAGGCATTTGAAGGAAGTTCCTCTTGCACTGATCTTTGTTTAATATCAAACAGTTCAGGCTTGCATTGCATCTCTTTCTGAACTGGTAAAGTATAAAGTCCTATTCTGAATTGTGAAAAATTAGTGGTGTGTGGCTTGTCTGTTTAAAAAAGGCAGAAGTCATTGGGGGTAACATCTGAGCCGAGTTGAGCTTGGCAAGAGATTTCTAGTGTGTGTTTTCCATGGCTTGCTTTTCAGCCTCTGAAATCACACAGTGGAGAGGAAAAAAGCAAGCTATGCCACTTTCATCACATCATGTGCTGGATTAGCCACAGACTACCACACCTGCTAAGTAAAGAATATCACTGTATTTAACAGTTTACAAGGCTGCTTGTATCTTGAAATGCTTTGTAAATACAGCCTTCCTTAATCACTGGCTTCTTGAAGGTATTAAATCTCTTCAAGTTTCTCCCTGGACACTGGCATTCAAAACCAGGAGAAGCAAAACCTCTTGAAACTTCATTGATGTGGGTTTAAGCAAGACAGTTCCTTAATGCACAAAGATCAGGTTAAGTACTTCTGTAGTGCTTTGTCATTCTTGCAGTTGGCAAGCTTTCCCCAAAGGATGGCATTTCTAGTGTTTTCCTTGAAATAACTACGAAAGGAAGCAAAGGTAACCCTTATCTAGACATGGGAATGACTTGCCAGTCATGGGTGAATGTAGATGTCTTCAGCTCACCTCTCAAAATTGGAGACTGGGGTCCACCTAAAGCAACTGTTGTATTCTCTACCCCATTGCCCTTCTTCTGGCTCTCGGGGAGCCCTGTTCCTCCGTGGCCTGTCAGGATGGGGCCGTGGTGAAGAAAGCTGATCCCATCAGTCTCATGCTTATCTGTCAGTGATGATTCTTCAGCCTGAAATTGAGTGAAAGTGTACCTCAGCATTCTGTGAGGAAGGGTGGGAGCAAGATCCTCTGTAGTAAGTGTAACAGCATAGCCTCAGAACCTTGGGGTTTGCTGTTGGTAGTTTCCATGGAGCTATGAAAACAGAGAAAAAGGCCAGGCCAAGTCGCTGCTGCCAGCTGTTGGTGTAAAACGGTATATATAAAGTAAGTAATCAGCTCGTTGCTCTATATTTGGTTATGGAAATAGAAGAGCTTCAGCACTTGAGGCAGCAGCTTCACATCTGTGCCAAGGTCAGTGGACTCCTTCTGACGTCTCACTGGAAAGGTGGTCTGTGTCCTGGTGATGGTTTGTCTGTGTGTGTGTGTGTGTGTGTGTGTGTGTGTGTGTTGTAAGCACAATGTTTGCTGTGTACCGACAGGCTGAGAGCCTGAGCAACCAGAAGGGGCTTTCTCAGGTCTATTAAGTTCAAGCAGCCTCAACCACAGAAGAGCTAGAGTCACTTTAATTGACTCCACCAATTTGCTGTTCTGATTCTTGGCGTATAAATGGATATGCTGGATCAGATGACTTGTCCATCTAGTACAGCATCCCGTGTCTGTTAACATATTGAATATTGCAGCAGCAATATGAATTTTAGGCTTTGGGTAACAACTTCTAGCAACAACGGTGTCAAATGGTGTTTCCTGTGGTTACAAATGCACTTGTGACAATTGGACCTGTTCTGGACACGGCTTCTGGTCTCCACTCAGGCAAAAACCAGTGCTGAAGGAACAGGCTTTTGCAAACTGGTATGGGATGGTACTGCCTTGCTGAGCAAAGCAGCCTGAGAGGTAGCTGCCAGCACTAGGTCTGCTGGTCTGCATTTCAAAGTAAGCCTTTAGACACACACTGTAAATTGGACTCACCTCATCCAGCGGGTAGGAAGAACTGACATGCCAACATAAACAGATTGTGGGTTTTAATCTCCTTCTGTACTGTAACATAGTTTTTTTAGGAGTGCAGTGGGCTTTAAAAGTATCTCTGGGTGGATGATCCCAGGCTCTTTTAAATGTCTCAGCAAACTCCCTGTCCATGCAGTGTTGCATGACTTACATTGTCCCTGCACTGGTTGGCAGAGGTAAGCAGTTTCTCTGAGGCAGGATTTGAACAACTGGGTACATACCGAGTGCACCGAGTCAGTGACTGTAAATTAGGAAGTCCTGAATCACCACTGCGCTCTTCAGAGACACTGCACTACAGCACATGTGCCTCTTCAAGCATGAAAGTTAAGTTCTCTTCATTATGCAGTGCCTGTGTCAGCTTTAATTCAAGATATTGTTTCATTTGTCCCACCTGAGGCCATGTCTTCAGTGCAGAAGAAATCCTACGTTTTGCCTGGGCTGGCTATCTCAGAGTAACACCTCCAAAGAACAAGGTGACTTCCCTGGAGAGGTTCTAATTGAAGCAGTTATTCCGACCTGTTCCCTCTTCCTTTACACCCTGCATCAGGATATAAATTACAAATGCTTATGATTTTGGTTACGATACTTCCCTTATGGTTTTAGGTTAAAAATACTGGAAAACTCTAAAGTGTTCCTTGTGCTAAGGCGCAGACTTTATGTCTTTCAGTCTGTTCCCTCTGTGCTTTTCTGCTGATCTTAGAGCTGCACCACATTTGTGTGCAAACTGATCTTTTTATTTGCTTTCATAGGCAATCTCTCAACTGTGGAAAAGGACATTAAGGAAAAAATGTTTCAGTACTGCATGAGATTGAAGGGGTTACTAATTACTCTATTTCTTCAAGATTGCCAGAAGAAAAAAAGGAATGTCTCCTTAAAAACATTGAGAACTTTTTAGTTCTGATGTTTTTAACCTTTTCCAGTTTATAGATCCCTAAGACTTTTCCAGTGAACCACTACTAATTGAAGTCCATAGACAACAGACTTGTGATTTGCCTACTTCAGATGCAATCCACAGATTGCCCTGAAAACCACTGCTGTAACCTGTTCCATCGGTAAATAAACAAACTGGAGTTATGAAGAGGACCCAAGCCCCTCATCATACAAATCAGACCAAAAAGAGATTTTTCAAATGCAAACAGAGGCCTCTCTGCTTCTTGAAGCGACTCGCTGTGTCTGGCCTGTGTCAGCCAGGCACTTTGTTGACAAAGACACCCATAAGCAAGTGTGTTTCAGCTCTCTGTGCTTTGTTAGTGGATGTACATTTTCCTTTTCCTTACGTTACTGCTGAGGGAGCATGATCTAACCCAAAAGCATGTGAAAATGAAGCTGAAGTGGGCAAACGTGTGTGCATCACACACTTAATCACTGAAGTTAGACTATTCCTAGTTAAACTTTGCTTTTTTTCCTTTCTTTCCCTCCCAGGTTTTTGCTGAGCCCTCCATCAGTCTGTTTGCTCTGGAATGCTGCAAGGGCAGAGAACTGCACTTCACTGAACCAGTCAATTCTGTTTTGAATGAGGACCTTCATTTTTACACTCAGTCTGCGTGGGTGAGAAGTGGATTGTAAGTATGGAAGAACCATTCTTGTCTGTTTAGCACTACGGCTGCTAACAACCCAGCATGCATTTTCTCCTCATTACTGCTTTTTTTCATAGGACATGTTTTACATTCTAACTTCTATTTTGTTTCAATATAAAATCCTAAAATGTGGTTGAATGCTAGACCTACTTTTTGCATCAGGACTCAAAATGAACAAAAAACTGGGCAGAGTGTATTTCCCTCTGTAAGAATCATCCTTTTATCCTTATATGTCCTTTCATGCCTATACGGTAAGGAACAATGGAGCCTCTTCAAGCTAGGAATCAAAAGTGAGTACGTTTTGATTGCTGACTTACAAAGACAGGTGGAGTAAACGCAGAGTGCCATTATTAACTGGCTGTAAAACATCAGCTATAAACTGCAGTGATTTAAAGGACTGCAGAGATTCAGTGGAGCTTGACATGCTCATCAGCTGCCAAAGAGGCAGCAACTTCTGAGAGAAGCTCAGGGTGGATGTGACAGCTGGAACAGTAATTTGCTTCTGTTAATATTCTGACCCCCTCCATGAGTGTGAAGACACACCCAGGGTCTTCTGTGAAAACCATTTTATATCTGCAGAAGTGACCTTCTAAGCTCTTCCGCATTTCTCCCTTTCACCTTTTGGAGAAGCTCCCAAGTACTCTGTCTGGGCCAGGTTTTCAGCCTCCACACCCTCAGCAGCAACAAATAACTTGCAGAATCTCATCCTGTAACTGAGACTGACTGGAAACTGCTGTTCTTCCAGCGTGACACACGTTTCCTGTTTATTTAACCTTTTCCCCACCTTTCCCATATAGACAAGGCTGTAATTTTCTTGAGAGATCTTGTGGGATGACACAAAACCATGCAGAATTCAAACTAATTGGGCGAGTAATTAGTGTACGCTCTTCATGGCTTATGTGTATCTCTGTTGTGATTCTTACACTGAGTGTTTCAAATGCATGTAGTCTGTTACCACTAAGAAGCCAAAAAGCCTTCTAGGAATATCTGTGATAACACTGCTGAGGGCTCGTCTCAGCCCTTGCTGAAAATACAGGCAGAAAGGCATCATCTGCTGCTGTTGCCTTGAGGTGCCCCAGGTGAGAGTGGCAAGCAGCTGCTGTCTGAGGCTGAGAACAGCATACACACATTTCTCTTGATCTGTGCTTGTTTGGAGAAGGAAAGGCCTTCTCTGAGAGGAACACCTGACTTACTTCTGGTGCGAGCATGTCAGTGTTCATGCCTTTGTGGAGGTGTTACAGTCTAAAGTGTGTCCTGTTGGAGAACATCTCTTCATGAGCTTTCTCTGCCCTTTCCCCTTGCTCATGCAGTTGGCTGCAAAGGAAGGGTGATGGCCTTGGGACCACACAGTAGAAAAGCACTGAGAGGAAGCACAACAGTCAAGTCCTTTCTCCATCTTTCTTTGTTTCTGAGTATCCCAGACAGGTTCCTGCTTCCCTGACTCCAGGAAGGGCCAGGGCAGAACGGCTGGGCTTTTGAAGCTCTGTAGGAAACAGAGCTCCCCAGCCTGCCCCCATCCCTCATTGCAGCTAGGTAGCCTCAAGGTTGAGAGTGACAGATGATTGTATGAGGTCTGTGGAATGTCTGCAGAGGGTTTATTTGCCTTATCTGTGATGAAGAGTTCAGGAAGGCAGGTTTAGAGGGGTTTTTGGCTCCTTGCCCCAAAACCTACTATCGGCTTTAAACAAATGACAAAGGTTTAAGTAAATATACCTACACTGGCATCTTGCTGCCAGGTTTAGGTTCGAGGATCCTTCCTGAGCTCCTCAGTGAGGAACAGCCCAAGCCTGGACTCTGGCTCAGCAAAGGGGTCTGGGGGCTGAGGTAGTCCACGGTGTGGGAAAGATGGCACAGGGGAGGCTGCTGGTCAGCATCAGAGCCAAGATGAGCTTTGTCTGTGTCACTGAATGCTTGAAGCCCAGCCTGGCTTCATGTGGTTATTACTGTAAGTCTTTCTGCTCTCTTGTTTTCTACAAAGGTCTGCTTTGAAACTGCATTTCAAATGAGGTGTTCCAAAATACTCCAAGAACAACATTAACAGTGAATTCTCATTGACTTGACAATTGGCAAGAAAAAAGCCAGGAATGTGTTAGAAGTATAAGGAGCACACAGTGGTGGTCAGGCTGCTCTGAATACCTGGTAGTCAGGAGGTATGGGACTTAATTTGAAGAGAGAATGATACTAGCTCCTTATGAAGCAGTTCATGGTTGGCAACGTCAGCCACCCTGGAGCCCTGAGCAGGGCTGGCTGGCAGTTCCTCCACATTACATGCAATGGGGAAAAGTAAATTACAGGTGCTGAGAGCGCTGTGGATGTTTTCTCACTGGCTTAAAGAGTGCAGCCATCCCTCGTGTTCTTGGCAGCTGACCTGTAAAACAGGTAATGTGGGGAAACCAGTGTTTTCCTTGTGCTCAGATGAGTTAATGAGTGAAGCATTTAGGATTCACTGCCTGCACAACAATGTCCTATTGATACGAACAAAACCAATCTGTGATCCGGGGGCTGCCTTTGTAAGCAGCTACACAGTACTTACTGAGCAGATGCCTAGATAACAAGAGAGCTGTATTTGCTCATGCTTTAACTCCGTGTTAAAGGATTCAGTCATGTCCATGGCTCAGATATATTCACTACAGGAAAGTCTGTTACAGCATTGTATAGATTTTGGAGTATTTTGTATGTGTTTTCAGACAATAGCCATATAAATAGCTATAAAAAGCTTTAATTGTAAGAAAAGAAAACACCACACAAGATCCTCTCATAATTGAGACATACCACAAGGCAAAGATGGAAGTAGTGCATTCTGGTATGTGGCTTTCTATGTTCCAAATGCATCCCACTGAAACCTCAATTAGTTGCATCTGGGTTCATGCAGAGGTTCTTTTATTCATGAGAAAAAATTGGGGGGAATGGAGTTTGCAAGTTTAAGGCAGACAAACAGAAAACAGGTCTTAATTTAGACTGAAAATGGTTAAGCCACTGAAAGGGGTGGCATTTTGCAGCATGGCAGCAGAGGTTTGATAGTAGCACTACTGCAGAGAGGTTTGGTGGCTTTAAAGAGCACCATCCTGAACCCAAGCCTATAGTTCAGTTTTGCTATGGCTAACGTGTAGTCTTTCTTGTTCTGTTTCCTGTATCCAGGTGGATTGCATACGAGGGATGTAATTTTTTAGGAAAGCAGATTCTGCTGGAGCCCAGCGAGATTTCAAGCTGGAATGAACACACTGGCTGGAAAGTAATTGGCTCCCTTCGTCCTGTGAAGCAGGTACTGTAGGACTATATGAGAACAATTTTGGTTTTGGGCAGGGGTTAGTGCACAAGTATCAGCTCTACAACTAAGTATAATGGGGGGCATTGTACTCCTTAAATGAGGTCAAATGATGACAGCCCAGAGGACCTACTGGAAGATAACTGAAGCAGAAAATTCCTCTAGTGGCAGTTAGAGATCTATATTAGGCTCCAAAAGGGAAATAATTCGTGGTTCCTTTGGAGCCAAGTTTTGTTTTTCCTGAATGGCTCATTAGCATGTTCTGTAGCTGCTCTATTTTTACATTTTTGCCATATAACAATAATGAGAAAACCAATTCTGCATTGGCTTGATTCGTATTTAACATAAATGGAAGCAAGAACAGATTTTATTGTGCTGTAGCCTGGATTTCCAAAAGAAGCAAAGCTTATGCACTCCCACCAGGATTTCCCTCTCTGCCTTACCCCAAGTAATGCCAATTTCAGTCTCATTCAGAGATTCAGGTCTCAAAACCACACAGTTCTCAGGAGCTTTCTGAAAACTGGGTGGAGAAGCAAGACTTGAGATAAACGCCCCTCACTGAAGGAAGAGCAGGTACAATTCTGCCCCTTGGCCTTTCCAAGATGTCTCAGGATGCATCCAGCCCAGTCAAAGCATGTGTTGGTGCGTGCCCTGCCATGCAGCTGTGGGAGGACAGCATCCAGGTGGATGGGAAAAGGACAGGGAAGCACGGCAGGGAATGTGAGCAGTCGTTCCACTGGGAAAGTTTTAGTCTGCTCTGTTTCTCACCGGCAACTTGTTTCCACTTAGTGACAAATTCTGCTTTATTTTTAAACACTAGATTCAACTGGGGAAACACTGCAGTGAAGAGAAATAGCAGTCATTAGCACTAGTTATGCATTATCCATTACTTCCCACCCCCACCCCTGGCAACAAGTTTTTAGTCTAAGAAGTTGATGCCTCCCTGGAATTGGTAACTAGTGGAAGATGTCATTTTGGTTCTGGTTTTGCAAATAATAATGAAAATAATCTGTGCTGATCTTAAAACCAGAATTCTCTCTTCAGCCAGCAATCTGAAGAGCTTTTGTATTTGGTAGCATCCTTTTTCACACTGCAACAGTTACACAGACTGCTTCAGCCACTTTGCTAGACTCTGGCATTCAGGGTTTGTGATTGTTGCTTTGACTTTGGTTTAAATCCTACAGCTGAGGGCTTCCTGGAGTTTGCGCAGTCAGCTACCAGTGCCTGGCACTTCTGTGGGCATGTGGTCCTCTCTTGTGAGACTGGGGCAATGCTACAAACCTGTACTGCTTTGTATTTCTTCCTTCCATCTCCATTCCAAATCATAAAACTGGCCAAGTCTGCCAATTCAAGAGGTAGTGCAAGAAAAAGCAGAACATTTGAAACTTGTGCAAAGTGAGGTGCAGATTTTGCTCAGTGCCTTTGTAATATGATGCCTTCCTTGTACAGAATGCACTATACTAATGCACATGAGTTTATGGCTGCTTGGTGGAAGAGAGGCTTTATTGTCTGTACCTTAAGGTTTGTCTGAATATGAAAAAAGGAGATTCAGAAAAAAGCAGAAGAAAAACTATGCTTGAGTTGGGGTCCCCGCAGAGCTGTTCCTTCTAACTCACTGTCCTTTATTTGCACCAAAATCAGTGAGTAACAGAGCAAAAGCTTGAGCCCCACAAAATGTTATTTTTTGAGTAAACCAAGTAGACAGGGATGTCAAGGCACCACCCTGTTTTCTGTGCATATTCAGAAGCAATGGCGTAACCCTCTGCCATGTATTCCAGTTAGGGATGGAAGTTGTTGCATATGTGACTCAGTTTTGTGTCCTGAGAACAGAAAGCTTGTGGGGTACAGCCCATTTACTGGCCTTGGAATGAGTGAAATGTGCTGAACTAGATATTTACATATTGCAGGAATTAGTTCTGTAGACATAAATTCATTGTTTTAAAACAACTTATCTGCCATCGCTGCTTAGAGCTGTGTATCTGCATGTGAAAACACTGCTGCTTTAGCATGCACATTTGTTTCTGACAAAAAAAATTACTTTCTGAAACTGGAAATTACAAACTTTAGAACTAGTGTAAGATGGAGGCGAGGCATTCTAGCATCAACATCTTTAATTCCTGTCTTATAACTACCTACCTTCATGCTATTTCAGCCAGCAGTGTACCTCAGAGTGAAGAACCGAGCCCAAGGCAAGTACCTGACAGTGGCTGGAAGCTTGGCTGATATAAGAGCAACATCGGTGTGTGCGTCCCCATACAACGGCAAGAACACCCAGATCTGGCACTACTGTCGTGGACTCTTCAAATCCAAGGTGAGTCTCCAGATGCTGGAAGTGGGTGGGTTGTATCACTGGTGGCACTTTTGCCATCGCTTCTTGCTTATACTGTAAGCTAGTGTTAACAGCAGGATAGCTTTTGGCCTCTCCCAGGCATCTTAAAGCAAAACTATTACAACGTACATCCTCCTGCTATGTAGAGACAGATTTGATCTGTTCCCTTTGGCAAGTTGGACTGCTTTTCACATCTCTCTAACAGGACTAGTGTTCCTGGAAGTCAAAACCTGGTTTTGTCTGAAGTTGCAAGTTTATTACCTCTAAAGAGTTAATAATATGTGTAGGAAGTAAGTGATTTTGTATTGATGCTGCTCTTGCTAGTCTGTTATTAATATAAAAAGCTGATGATTTAACGTAAGAAAGACCTGAAGTAACAAAGACCACTTCCTTTGATCAAGTTGCTGGGTCAGTTGCTGTATAATCTGTTCCTAGCTGCTTGCCAGGCTTGGTACCAGCTGTAACAGGATCACCACAGTGTGTTCCATGCCTGAAACAGAAACAAGTCAGACACAAACCTGAGGCTTTTTAGCCTGGGTCTCATTTCTCTTCTCATTTCTTAGGCTAACAGTGCCTGTCTGGATGTCATTGGGGGCAGAGATGTGCCTGGGGCCAAAGTAGCTCTCTGGGCAGAACACGGGAAGGACCGGCAAAAGTGGAGACTCAATGAGGATGGAACCATCAGTTCGTACCTCAGTGAACAACTGGTGCTTGACATTAAAGGTATTTATAAGAGAAAACAATCAGCTCCATGCTCCAAGAGCATTTTTTGATTGAAGTTAATTGCTGTATTTCAGCTCTTTTTGCACTTAAATACTGAATCCTGTCGTTCCTGTTAGGTTTATGTCCAGTTGCTTGACAGGGGGACAAGAAACAACAGGGCAGGGGGAAACCTTACTCTTTAGATCCCAGAGTTACTATTTTACTTGAGGGAGGTCAGTAGTGCTCATGGCAAGAAATACAAGTTACAGAAGACAAAATGGTGAAGGAAAAGCAACCACAGAATAGATGTGCCTCAAAATGAGCAAAGTGCTCACTCTTTATCATTTCAGGTTTGCTAAAATTGTCATTGCTCAAGCCCCAGACCTTCTAATTGTCCATCATGGTAGAACTGCCTCATTGAAGAATGCCTGTTCCTCACACACACTTTGTTCAAGCCCTGCTGCTGGCACTCGGGTTTTATCCCTAGGGAGAGGTAGTTGGCCAGTGACTGCAGGAGCCAGTTATGAAGTTGGGGACTTTGTGGTGCTGTCTTCTCCAGTGAAAGGGCCAAGTAAATTAACTGATGGCCCTGAAGAGCTTACAGACCATTGTCCCAGCACATTCTGCAGGTGAAGTTACATCAGCCTTTTCAGTGCATGTCCCACTGGCTGTTACACATCTGACCTCTGCAGCTCAGCCTTGCCGATAACGAATTCCCAGTCCATGATGTTGAACTTCTAGAGCATTCCTGGCTTCCAGAACTACGGAGTTTAACCACCATTACTAATTCATAAATAGTTCCTACAAAGCCATTAAATGCAATCAGGTGATACTGATGGCAGCTCTTAAGAGTATCTGCAAGCTGTGCTGCCTAGGTTACAGCACAACACAGTGTTGAAGGCTGGGGTGATGAGATAGTGCGTGAGAGCTCTTGGGAACTTGTTTCTTTTAGTGGATTTCTATGTATGGTATAGTAATAAAATGCACTGTCATTTCTATACTACATGTATTCAAAGCAGAGAAACCTTATTTTAAGGACTTCTAAGTTTGTAGTTGAAATGGATCTGCTACACCAAATAATTGCACATCTACCTGTGAATCCATGTATTCCTTGTAGAGCAATATGTGCTGCGAAAATCCAGACATATAGCAGAGAGCTCAGTGTACTCTCTGTAGGGGTACTGCTTCTGTGCACAAAGGTACATTTGTGGTATGTTCTGCTTCCTGGCTAATGGAGCTTCTCAGGGGTGAAGCTGACTATTTCAAGGAGACAAACATACAGAGGCAGAGGGACAGAAACAACTCCCTATCTCATAGCATTTCTATTTTTCATCTGATTTGCCTACTTAGTCACACTTAAAGATTGATTATGCTTAGGCTTCTCTGAGTATTTCTTTTGACAATTTTGCCTTCATGCTTTTGTTCTGTTGTTTTAAGGAGGACATTATTATGACAAGAATCACATCATTATGAATCAGCCAATAGATGACAAACATTCACAAAAATGGGATATTGAAATATTGTGAGTAAAACCCACCACACAGATGGACCTTGTGTGTGCTATTAACACCTAGAGGGGAAAAAAAACCCAAACAACTACTGAAGTCACACACCACTGGAACCTTAAGCAGCAACTCCTTTCTGTGTTACTTCACACCAAGCACCAGCTCCTAAACCAACTGAATTTTGCACAAATCTGGAAGATGGGAGGTTGATATAATGTCTTTCTGCAGAGAAGCTGCACTTGTAGAGGCCACTCCTATGAGTTATTCTTTATCTGAAGTATTAGAAGTAAAAAGACTTAGACGTAAGTTTTGCAGGATGTGAACTGCAAGAGCTACTATGGGAAGGCCTCTTCAGAAATACTGTCTTTACCTTCCCCTCAAACTGATGGAAGCTCACTGAAGAATTGAATGCAGCTTGAAAGAGGTTGCATTGGACTTCCATGTCCCAGGTGAAACTTGAGGTTTCAAGCAATGCTGAAGCTAAAACCATGGCTCTTGCTAAAATGCAGTTTATTTTGTTCATAAAGACAACGCTGAACTTGGAATTACCAGCTCAGCATGTGAAATGAAGCAACAGAGAAAGTCTGACTTCCCCCCCCACCCCAATGTTACTGGTAGGTCTTTGTCTTCATTTGTTTTAGCAGTACCAAATTTCCAAGTTCAGGAACTGGTTTTGCTGACCCATGGCCTGTTTCCAACCACTGAAATTGTGAGTTATCATTGAAGATCACCTTCAACATGGAGCTGTATTTACATGTATCAGAAGAAACAGTCCTGGGCTGGGCTAGACTTCTACAAGGGCTAGCTGCATTTAGAGCAGTAATGATTTTTAAGTCTAGCCATATTTTGTTTTGCTGTATATAGATTAATTTAATATAATGTAATTTGGTCTTGAAACCACATCTTCCTTCAGAAAGTAATTCCTAGCAGGTATTTTCAAAGGTGCTAGCAGACTGCCTTTCAAAACTTGCTTATTGTTAGAAGAACAGCATAACTACATGTTCACAATACTGTGGCTCATCCACACCTCAGACATCTTAGCCCAGAGGATAAGGACTTGGACTACTGGTCCAGGCCTTGCCATGCTGGCCCTTCCCTCAACTTCAGCACTATGCAGCCAGCCTACGAGCTATCACTTGAGACAGACAGAGCCAAATACTTGACTGGAATGCAGCTGTTGCAGGCTTGAAAAGCATGTTCCTCACTCAACACAGGGGCAGAACTGCAGACAGCTGTAGAGCTGTGAACACCTGATATGGAAGAGAAGTCCTCTTGGATTACTGGTAACTTCATTTGATTTTGGTGCCACTAAATTAATTACTTCATTGAAATGGTAGTATGGTTTTTTTTTCCTATTTGTATGTTCAGGGTATGTATTTCTGTAACTATTTAAAGAGTTCAGGTTAGCTACAGACAGGTATTTTGGTTTCCAAAAGCTGTAACTCTTCCAGTTGTTCCTTCAAACAGGATTCATCCCCAAACCAACCAACCTACATAACCCTAAGTTTGCCACAGAAATAAACGATGTCTATTTTTGTATGAAATGGAGTTCTATATAGTACTATTTAAAAATAAAACCCTACTTGCACTTACTATTTTACATTCTAAAATAATCCTAAATCTGCTGTTTAAGTAACAGATTTTCAAATGTCTGTATATATTTTTTCCAACTACAGCACTTGTTCAGCCTTTTTTATGTAAGTCAGTGTATCAAGTGTTCTACATGTGACTAGCTCTCCATATGAAACTTTAAAAGCCTGTGTAAAAAGTTCTAGTCTTTTAGACCAAGGATGACTGACTAAATTCTCTTCTATGTGTCAGTGTTACATAGCAAAGTCAAAGCAGGCTTTTGTACTGAAGAGATCTTGAATGTAAAATGCTAAGCATGTATATTTTAATTGTATAAAACTTTTTTTAGGAGGAACATTTTGCTTGTTCGTTTCTTTTTAAACAAACACTAGTTTTTAGCAGGTGTCAAGTATGTTCCTGTAAAATAGTTCCTTTCAAATGGGCAGAAGAGGGATGAGTATATTGAATGCATGACTGTGACATTACATTGGAGGGTTGGAAATAGATGATCTTAAGGTCCTTTCTAACCCTTACCATTCTATGATACTAAATATTGATGTTCAATACCTGCAATACCTGTACTGCTCCCATCAAACTCCCCTTAAAGAGCATTGAAGATGCACATTCCAGTTACAGGTTGGGGTTAGTTTCATGTTAAATGGAGGTAGACATATATTCCAGTAGTTTCCCCTCATCTGAGAGAAAAAGGGGTTTTCTTGAGCAAAGTCCTCACCCCTCTGGGAAACAACAGACACAGCTTTTACTAAGCATCCTTTGTTCTCTGGGGGCAAACAAACAAAACAAATGCATTTTCTTACTGGTGGACTTTAGAAATGAAAAACAAGTTCCTGTTCTTTGCCCAAGGTCCTGGAGCATTGCTCCATCTGTACTTCTAGATGTCCTCCACTTGAAGGCATGTAGACAGAGGAAAGGGGATACCACAGTGCTATGGTGTTACTATGAGTGAACTCACCCCATCACTGACCCAGAGCTACAGTCACTGGACAATGAGCAGCTTACCTGTTTTCCCAAAGCTAGGGAAGGTATCATTTGGCATCAGAAAGTAACAAAGTATGTTATATATTGCAATGCCTTGTTAGACAGCACTACGAACCAAAGGCTGGATGGATAAAAAAAATATTTAATTAGCCCTTCTCTCAGGAGATTCTTAATGGCCAGAAACACTACTTACAGGAGCAGCTCATACACAAAAGCATTAAATAACTTCAATTAGACATTCAGTCCATAGCGACAAGGCAAGGTTTTCTTTCTCTTCATCTGAGGTAAGGTTAAGCTCTTTAACATTAACAGTGCTGCTACGCCAAATCTGCTTCAGTGCATCCAAGTATGACAAAGGAAACCGCAGTCCATGAGTCTGCTGGGGAGGGGGAAAAAAGTAGTAAGAAAAAATATCTTTCAGTAAAACACAGTGTCCCTTATTACACATTGTATTGGGCTCTAGTTACTGACCAGCAGGTACATGTTCCTTTCCCACATCACACTGGTATTTCTAAGTGCATCTTCCAAAAGATGCAGTATTATCCTGCCACCTCCCTTAATAGAAAAATACATCACATCTACATGCTCTAGGACACTTTATGCAGGAGCATGGCTTCCTCATGTGGCTTCCACACTGAAGAATGACATACCACTTAAATTTATACTCCTGCCTAACCCTACCCATTATCTTTGGAAGGTCATAGAAAGAAGCTTCTATCCTTTGGACATGCAGCCTTTGACATAGTTTGCCAGCACCACAGAGGTGGCTGGGGTCCTTAAGTCAGGTATAGTCTGGGATTTGCACAAGTTGTACAGGAGCCAGTGTACAACCTCATCTACCCATATTTTCTGCACTGGAGGATCAATGAGATTTACCTTAAAAGGAAAGTAACTGCCAGGCAAAAAGCTTCGCTGTAATTACTGGGACAAGAACAGGCTGTGTTCTGTCTTGCCTCTACAGTGTATTTGTGCAGACCTGTAGTCCAGTGTTTCAGGTCACAGACCTAAGACAGATCTTCTTAGTATCATGAAGTGGAACAAAATGTTCCAAAGCTCACAGCTACTCTTCAGGAGTGCTTATGATTCCAGCAAAAGCACATTGTTCTGCTGAGTAACAACAGAGATGAACCATCTGCAGTCTTATTAACAATACAAAGTTCCTTCCTTACATTTCAGTAAAACGAGTATTCTCATCTTGTGGGATGTTCCAGTTGATACAAAACCTAATAGGTTCAACATGGCATAAACATGGTTCATGAGGCACAGTGTTCCCTGCTATGACTGACCAAGCACTAGTGTATTCAGTAGCTGTAATAAGGGATGTGCTAAAGGACACAGCAGAAAGAGACACTTATGGCCACTGCAGTAGCTTTGCTACCTAGGACATGAGGCAGGTGCAAGGAATTGTGTTAACATCTGACATTTAAAACATGAGATTATGTTACTTAGTTTTACTGAGCTAACTGCCCCTGTGTTGCAGCACAGAACCCTGCTACCACCTTAGTCAAGCTCATCTAGCACAGCAAACCTGCTTTTGATGTGTGTTTGTGGGAACAAACCTGGGGTGTGCCTTCCTCACTAGCTGCATCATCTTCAGTCCCCATCATGTGAGTTTCTCTTCTGTTCTTTAAAGAATGATACACGTAAACCATCTCTCTGCGAATTTCATCCTAAAAGAAGGATGAGAACAGTTAGTTACGTATGATCCACATCCTCAACTTCATCTCACTCAGATGCCAACATTAGCCCCTTCATTCTGGAGTCCACTGTTGCATCACTGAAAGCAATTACCTTTCCTAACTGAATGATCTAACAGCCATAAGGGAGTCTCCAAAACATCCCTACAAATTTATGTACAATCTATAACCTTCTGCCTTAGCACTGCCTCCACTAGACTCACAGGACTGATGCTCTACAGAAAACATGCATTTAAGATGCATCTCCCTGAAGGCCTTAATGAACAAGTAGGTATCAATAGATTTCCATTCTCATACTGATCAGTCCATTGAAGAGTCATATGCCTGTTACCACTTCTTAGATAAAGCTGTGCAAACCAATTCAGAGCTCAGTGGGCAGGTCTCACACCAAGTATGTGTCCAAAAGGCTTGCACATGGGCTGTCATTCAGGGATTATCTGACTGACATCAAAAGGCAAGGTGGCAAAAAGTAATAGAAAACATGTCCAAACCCTACATGGTCTCACAGCAGTAAGGACACAAAACAGAGGAGAAAAGTCAGAAAATCATGATATGATGTTTTGCTTGGAGGAAAACATTCTATGTGTACAAAAAAAACCCTTTTTAATTAAGACAACAAAAAGCACTCCTACAATTCCATACTAATAAATCTCCATAACTAAGAAGTCTGACCACAACATACTCCAAGATGCCAGCACCTATTTTGTGGAACAACTTAGTAGTGCCACTGGTCCCTGCTTGGGAACAAAGCTAACTGGGAAGTGAAGACTAAATGGAACCACAGTCAGGAGCAGCTGCAACCAAGAAACTACCCTCTCTTGAAGGAACCTATTTTTATAACTTATTCATGCTCTCAAATACAAAGAAAAAAAAAAAACAAAAATCAAGAGGTACAGAGGCCATTTATCAGCTGTAATGATCTGTCTATCTCACCTAGCCTCAAGTAAAAGGCTGTAGCTCCCCAAGAAGGCAGGAGCATGCCTTATTCCTGCTTGACAACAACCCCATGGTCTCCTACCAAACCCGAATGGGATGCAGGATCTAACTAAGCACTAACTGCACGACCCTTTTAGACCAGTACAACAGAGCAACAGTTCACACACCTTGCCCTCCCCACCACACACCCCCAGCCCAGGCATAGGAGGCTGGGCTTCATTATACTTACAGAGTTCTCTTGGTCTGGTTCCACTGTAATGATTGCATGATCTCGGAACTGTAGTCGGATTTTGCTATCAATTTTTGGAAATTTCCCACCTATGTAAGATAAATTCTTCATTACAAAGGAAGGAAACCAGATGGGCAGCACAAATTGAGCCCTTTCTTGTGGCTGGATTTTTTTGTTAACCTATGTTTAAACACCCATGTTGTCAAACGCAGGGGGGAGGAGAGCAGAAGGTGAGAGACGGATTTCTTTTAATTCTCCCATCTTTATAGTCTACAAATAGCTGTAACAGCAAGCTAGAACATAAGGTCAAACTCTGCCAGTTAAACATTCTCAGTACACAGCAGTTTATTAAAGCTGCCAGTCTAGGATAACCTTTATTTCACTGGGAGAGGTGGATCATCTCTTCCGTTAGGCACAGGGAATTAATGCAAATGCACACGTAGAGCCTAGCACAACACAAAGCTGATGCTAGGCTATGATCCCTCCCACCATAAAACACCAGAGTTCCAAGGGGCAGAGACAGCAACAACTGTACCCTCACAACAGCCAGTTTGGTAACTTCAAACCTACCTGGAGTCAAAGTATCAGAGTCGCATCCCAAGCAAGGTGGCAGCCGGTTCAGAATGAAATCCTTCTTCATGTCAGATGACCTCAGTTCTCTGGTGCCTTCCAGACGGTCCGCAAGCCGTCTCAAGAGGCTGCTCAGCTTTTTTGTTGAGTCAGCTACATCCACCTGCCGAACAGTCACCCAGTAACTCTCACATGAATTCAAGCTAAACAGACTAGCCTGAAGAGGTGCAGTAATGCAGTGAAAACCTGGCTATTTCCCTTTTATCTTTGCAAAGGGTAACATTTACTCTCTATGTAACAGTGTCTTCTACCCCTTCCCCATGAGCTGTTCACACACCAAAGCCGATGCTTGTTTTCTCTCACTCCACAGCTACCTGCTGTGCTAAAGGACTAGCTAGTGTAGCTGGAAGACAGACCTCTTCCTTTCGCATGCTGATAAGCTGACCAGCAGCACAATTTACAGCTTAGCTAACTTTTAAAGATTCAAAAGCTTGGCCTGACAGGAACTATGCCTGTCTGACAGCTCCAAAGCAAACACCGTTACTTTCAGAAGGAAACAAGCTATACGAGGACACTGTGATACAAAAGAAGTGCAATGAAGTAGGCAATGGTTCAGATGGAGCAAACCTCAGAACAAAGACTTCAAAAGAAGTGGTTGTGCTGCTGGACAAGATAGTGCCTTTGCATTGAGCTTTCAGAGCAGATCAACAAGATACATACTTGCCTCAGTTCCAGCTGGATCCACTGTTACTCCCTTTAGTCCCACCTACTTACCATAAGCAGCTTCCTTGGTATGCTTGTCCGCAGAGCCACATCTTCTTTTGCTGTATCAAACACAAGGCCAGGAATTGCATCCAGTAAGAAATCTCCCCAAGAGCTGAAAAATGGGAATTAAAAATAATCACTAAAATAGTTGCACTGAAATAAAACACACAACTGATGTCAAGGGCTGGAAACCTAGTGCTCCAATTCCAAATTAGCTTCATGCTTTTAGCCCTTCCATTACTACTCTGCAGTCCCATGCAGTAGCTCACTCTTGTCTCAACTGCATGTACATCCTCACTATTTCCAGGTCAGTGGCACTCCTACAGAGGGACGGAACTGGCTTGAGAAGGGTCCAGTTTGTTCTGATCCAGGTGCTTGCCATTTACCAGTGGATTCAGCTTAAAGCTGACACCAGTGAATGAAGAAATCACTACCAGGGCCTTTTTATCTAATTGCATGCACATATGGGCTCACTGCACACAATGACATGTATGGAGTTTTGTCATTTAACATGCTTTTGAGACACTTTCATTGAAGAAGAAATGTACCCAGGGGTATCAAATCCTCAAATCAGCTTTTAGCTTCACTACAAACTTATGAACCCAGGAACCCCTACGTATCTCTACAGCTATTTCAATGACACCTAACAGGCACCCTGTGGGGTGTTAAATCCCCATTGTTAGCCTACATACTTTAAAAAAACAGCAATAAAAAAAGGCTTTTGATATCTGTGCTTCTGTTCCCCAATTGTAAGAATAAACTTGAGGAGGGCAGGCAGAACTGCTGCCTGCACCCTCATTGCCCAGCTTCAGTCAGGCTCATCAGGAATAGGTGTGCTGCTCATGCAAAAGTGCTGTCCTGTCCATACGTGGCCTCTCTCCCTGCCACATCCTCAGCGCCTGGTTTAATGGGCTAACAACTCGGGCAAGTGCCCAGTATCCACAGCCATCAGCAGACTCCACAAAAGCCAGGCAAGGAGCAGAGCAGGGCCTGTTCTCCAGCACATACTTGACCCTCTGCTCTTGCTTGCTCTCAGCACTCTGTTTCCAGCCCTGATCTCTGCACACTGCTTTAGGGGGTTGAGTTTGCACTTTTAACATTATCATCTTCCACATTAAAGTCTACAGCTGGTAAATAATAAAATAACAAATTAAAAAGCAATCAAGTTTGTGGCATGAAAGCCTGGTAAACAGGTTGCTTCAAACAACAATGGTCTCTCTACCCTCTTCTCCCAAACCCCAAACCTTCAATTACTGCTACCTACCTTAGATTCTGTTACTAACACAGGGCACATATATAATGGTGGGGTTCCAACATGTATTCATGTCATTACATCTCTAGGATGAAGGTGACATGCCCCATCCCTGTGTTACAATAAAACAAACCAAACAAGGGCTAAATAGAATGAACACAGAAATGAAGCAGAGCTCATTACAAGGGGATTTTCATTTTAAGAAACAGGACATCACTTCTTTGAAACATTAATTTCAGGTCTGTACTATTCAGACACATTATCTGGCAGAAAACCACTTCAGAATGTGGTACTAAAAAAAGACTAAAGTACAATTACTTGTTTTGGTAGGTACTGATAGTCACGTGTGTGGAATAGGAGATCCCAGGAGGAGTGTCAGCTTGGTGAATAGTCCCTCTTGGGAAGTACAGCAAGTCACCTGGCTGCAAGAAAATGAAGGAGAATTGATTCAGGACACCTGGTTAAGCCTTAAAGTAGTCAAAATAAATACTCCCTGAGCAGATAGACTGACAACATCTGTTCTTAAAATCACAAAGAAAAATCCTCCAGTGTACACTTTAATAACAAAATAAAGCACTCCAGGCCAGAGGTCCAATACCTTAAACTTTCCAACTTACTGTCAATATTTACTATACACTGGTCTGAAAACAGGAAGCAAGCTTTTAACATGATAGAACAAGCACACCCCAACTCAGCTGCATAAAGGGGACAAAGCAGCAGCTGAGATGAACCTGCTGATAATACAGTGGGTTAGCAGAGTAGTACAATGTGAATTTGGTAAAATCATTTTAAAAGAAAAGGTCAATATCCCACAAGAAAAGCCAAATATTCTGTAAAGATGTTAATCTGTTACAACACTGTTGTCTGAAACTTTCAGTTAAAACACTTAAACAAGCACAACTTTCCTCCTACCTTTCTTCTCACCTATCTAAATTAAATCTCCACACTGATAAAAATTTAGATCCAGGGAAGTCAAGATAAGAGAGAAGTGCAAAGTTCAAGAAATTGCCTCCAAGAAGGAAAAATCAGTGGCTTCTCCTATAAACATTTATATAGTTGGATAGCACAGTCAAAATCCATTAAGCAACAGTGGTGAAATCTGATTCCATTTTAATCTTACCATTCCTTAAATTCAGTCACATCGCCTACTCAGAGCCCAGTGAACTGTAACACGGGTGCATTTCAAATGAATGCTACTTGAGCTTTCACTGAAAAGTGTCTTTGGAGTATGAGGCTTCACAGGACTTGGCAAGATCAAGTCTCCTCATCTATTTATGACAACCTGAAAAGCACCATAGATCAGTTTTGCTCTGAAGCAAGCCTGTCTCTGTCATTAATAAACTCACCAGTGCAGGGACTACACTAACCAACTCAGGGTATTTTTAATTCTCTTCATTTGCTATGTTGCACATCCCCAGCAAGAAAATAAACTGGAGGAAAAGGGTCACGCAGTGGGAGGGCAAGAGCCTGAACACCTACCAGAGTGGTGACAAACTAGTCTGCAAAAGAAGTTATTCCATGCTGGAGCAGCCTATCCCTACCACTAAGAAGCCGGGATCATGATTTTTCCAAGCAGTCTTTGCTGCAAAGTCCAGCTCTTACTGCTCTTATGCATGGGGCAGCCTCATCACCACCATTCACATCCGCCAGCAATCACAGCACTCTGCCACCAAAATAACCAGAATCTTCAGATTCCAGCTGGCAACACCCAGGCTGGGGGAGGACAGAGCATCTGACAAGAGACCATGCAGATCTGACCACTTTGCTGCCTTCTTACTTCTGAACTGGAGGAAGGAGGGGAGGACAAGGGAGAAGTACCAGCAAATTAAAATGGAAAGTCATATAAGAAGGCAGCTTGATTGACTCCTATCAAATAAGCTCTGTGCTTGACATCAGTAACAAACCAGCCACTGCCACAGCCTCTGGCAGTGCCACCAAGGCACACTGCAGCTTGGGACTTTATGCACAAACCAGCATGCCTTTGCTCTCACTCGCATACCAGGTTTTGGTGGGATGAGAAAACACCACCAATATAGTGTCTAACTGGTCCATTTGTTCTAAACTGCCCAAGGATGGCAGACTGCAGGCAGAAATGCAAAAATGGAGACAGGAAATACCCTAGGAAGATGTTTGGGGAGGAAATAAGAGTCATCTGAAAGCATCCCTGCCAGAGACAGCTCCAGGCAAACAACTAAAAACTGACAGAAGAAATGGGTCACGGGAACTGCAGAACATCAAACAGAAGAAAAATAAATTAAAAACTTAGATTATTTATAAGCCCTTTTCAGAGGCCAGTACTGTCACCCCATTAATGTCAGTAAAACGGCTTGTGAGAAACATCATTATTCCATAAAAATCAAAGGCATTGAAGTCCAGCCCAAAACGTTCCCAAAATTAAAAAGGCACTTGTAATTTACTAGCCTTTGCATCACCCAATAGGTCATGACAATTTTGACCATTACCAGCTGTCAAACTACACAGCTCATAATGTCAGTATCATATCCAACGTGTCATAATAAACTACCTACAGCCAAAGGCAGGTCTGAACAATGGGAAGAGCAGAGATCTTGTAGAAAGAGGCCCTACAGACAGGCCACGAGGCAGAGAAACTAATGAGGCTTCCAACAGAGCAGCGCTGTCTGGTGGATAAACAACACACTTCAAAAGCACAAGCACGTAGAGCACAATGGGACAAGTATCAGATGCCCTGCTGTCAAAGGGGCTGCATTCATTAATCTTCATGAAATGCTCTTTTTATTCCAAATAACAAAAAAAGAAAGTCAAACACTTGATTTTCAGGTTTGAGAAAGGGAAAAGAAACAAAACCAAACCCAATTAATGCATAAAATTAATACAGGGTTTAGTTCATGCTTTTGTTTAGCAGCCAAGGGTAAATATTTAAATCTGATTCACCAGAACAGTGACAACCTTCAGTAAAGCAGTAAGTCTTGGTGCACAGAAGGATTAGCCTGATGGATTACAGAGAGCATGTAAAAGCATTAAAATGTTTCATAACCATGTATAAGCCTAGTTTTTCATGCACACAACTCCACAAACATGATCCAGGAGTCAGGGTGCCCAACTTGGAGAATACTGGAGAATTTCCAAAAATAACTGGTTTCTTGGCCCATTATTTAAGTACTACAGCAAAGGAAACCTTTGAAAAAGGACAGGCTAGACAACTGTCACCCAACTCTCCTGTGCTCATTGTGTTTTGTAACCAACCCTCCCCTCAATTTCACAACCACCATCATTCAGAATACTGCCTTCAAGAAATGGACCACTTTAAATGTGACTACTTTTCTGGCAACCACAGCCCAGGCCATGTAAAGCAACTTTATTATAATACCTTTAATACAAATTCATGTGTGGGATTCCCAATCCTGTCTTCTGATTCAACATTATATTCCCGAGCTAAATGCACCGTTGGTTTATAGAGTCGCCAGTGTTTCTCGCCTTCCAGCTGCAGGATAAACACCTGCAAAAGACCATCAATCCAAATTTCATGCCTTGCTCTCCCTCACATATCCAACTGATCAGGAATTCTGAGTCATCTTCTGACTTGGGAAGTCTGTAAAACCATGCCAGAAATCAGGGATAGAAAGCAAACAGAAGTGACAAAGGTTGCTTTTCTGGCAACAGAAGAAACAGATTTTACCTTCTCTGCTCTCAGCTACTCCACAGCACAGCAGGACTCCTTTCACATTACTTTTTAGATGTCTACAATGCAGAAATTTACATTTGATCTATTTCTTTAGGCTCTAATTAGAGACAACAGAGAGAAGAGTTGTCAAATATGATCTGTTTTATCCTAAGGTAGACATCTGGAAATCACTGTTTCTCTCCAGTCCCTTAAATAAGTGCCAGACAACTAACTCAAAAGTAATGCCTACCACACAGATACTCAAAATCTCAGGCAAGAGAGGTCTTACCACCATTCGCTGACAAAGCATCAGAAACATGCTGTGAGCATCTAGGGTTGATGCCACACATCAGAACATGCAGGTTGTGGGGCTGCTGAATAACAAGCATAGGAAAAACAAAACTGTAGATGTATTAAGGGAAATTAAGATAATAAAAAGCAAAATACATATGGAAGGGCCTGGGGGCTTTTTGGTTGGTTTAAGTAGGACAGGCCAACTTTTTTTGGTTTTTTTAATGCACTGCCTACTTGTATGTTTCTTTTAGAAGCTGATTTAAAACACATTTGGACCACAGGACTTCATCGTACCAGCACATAAAAACAGTAGGACCAGCAAACAGGAACCAGCACAACCACTCTGCTTTCACTATCCAGCTGAAGAAAGGACAAGTGCTTAGGAAAGGAAAGTGCTTAAAGGAAAAAGAACTTCTAGATCCTTGGGGGGTCTGAATGAAGTGAAAATGAAGAAAAGGTACTAGAAAGCTTCTGCAGGGGGGGAAACAAATTCTCTTTTCATCTAATGGAAATACCAGGTCTGGAAAGCACAATTCATGTGACATTACCATTAGATATTACTATTTTCATTAAAATTATAGAAGAAAAATTACTATAAACACTTGCAACCAACTACTGTAAGTTTTCAGTGGGGAAAAAAAGCCAAACATCTTTTTCTATAGTACGTTATAAGGGGGGGGAGGGGGAAGCACACATACAGGTATCCACTGCCACTAGCAGAAGCCAAGGTTGTGCTGCCCTACCTCAACATCATCGTAGTGGGGGGGGAGGCCCTGTGACCCCTGGGGAGTCATGTAAACATTTGATCCAACCAGAGACCCGAAGTAGCACTCCAGCTTCTCCTGAATCTTCCACAGCTCCTCCTTTAAAAGGAAACAATGCTGTTATTACTGAAGAGCTCAGCCAAGCCAGGCTGCCACCCAGCCCACAGCCTCCCCATCACCAGAGAGGTTGTTCTAGAGGCTGATAAGATCCCCACAGGGAGACAGAGGCTGCGAAGGCAGATGCTCTGTATGAGTGTTTCTCCTGCCATTAAGGTAATTGATAAGCCAAGAAGTCTGGTGCCCCAACATAGCAGTGATGTTGGTTCTCTTCCCTGTACCATTTTTAGGTTGCAAAAACAGACAAACAAGGGTAGACAGAGGTAAATAAACCACCCATCACCCACAAACCATAAAACATCTTCAGACAATAAATACATGCAGGACTTGCATTACATGGGCCAGCATCAAAGAGAGCATACAGACCTTTTAGACATCTTTTTCCAGTGACTCCAAGTGTTTGGGTATATTTGAGAACAAAGATTAATCTACATCTAACACGTGACAGACAATGCCCAAAGGGATGACAGTCATATCAGAAAACTACCAGACTCGCACAAGTGCAACTTCAACCAGAATTTAGGTAGGTTCAGCTCAAGCTGAATGATTTCAGTGTAGGCCATTCAACATTTCAATTTCACCTGCAGATGCCCCTGCCACTGGCCACTTCAGCTACAATCAAACAGATCAGCCAGTGACACTGTGCTTCAAACTCAGCTGCCTATTTGGGTCTTTATGGATCACTTCACAATTACGTTGTGCTGGCACTGAGGGACAAAAAAAGGACTACCTAAATCCAAGTGCCTTATAAGTATGTAAATCCTTCACGCAACTGTGCAGACACCACTGCCCCATTCTCATACATGAAGACTGCAAAGGCATCAAAAAGAACAAGAGAGGACACTCAGCCAAAAGGGGTGGAACACTTGATGGTGCAATTCAGAGCCAGTCCACTGGCGAGAACCGTGGAGTGTCCTGGAAACATTTTACATGGTTTCACACCTTGCCCTCTGTTAAAGTAAAGCAGTCCAAAAGCCCATTTGCACAAGGAAACAGTGGGACAGAAGTGATAAGACACAGATGCACAGTCATCAATTTTGTGCATTTCTTTTTCTAAACTTTCATGTGACAAAGCAATGTTTTTAAGAAAGAGCACTTAGTATTATAGCACAAATCAGATTTTGTTCTTGCTGCAGAGCACTGAAACGTGATGGGCTGGGCAAAACCACAAGTTTAAATTACTACAGTTCATGTACAGATTTCAGCAGGTCATTGCTGTCCCCCTGGATTTACAGGGGACAGAGATGAAGCTCAGTCTAGTATGACCGAAGCAAAGTGTATTACATTATGAAGCATGCATTGACTACATTCAATGAAACAATCCAACCTTAAATCTCTGAGGCTGATGAAACTGTATCGTTGCCTTTTTCTGGTCAAAATCCTTCTTCAGCTGCATGTAATTCACTTTGCCTTCTTTATTTAAAACTTTCTTTTTTCCATTCACACATCTGCAGATATTCAGATCTCGCCCATAGTACAGACCCCGGCTGCACAGTTCCTTCAGATCTGACAACTGGAACAGGGACTGGTAGTAGGCAGCCAGCAGGGGATCATTTCTCTGAATAAGCAATGGCTTTTGCTCCCAATACTCCCTGAAAAACACCTCTTGTTTGATGGGAGAGATCAAGCTTCCGAAGAGGCTGTCTGGGTTCTCAAAACTCATGACTGATGGAAAACAAGCTGCATCCACCTTTGCTCGTTTACACTGTGCAGGCCCATCTTTTCCCATGTCAACATGCTTCCCTCCTTTCTTGGGCATGTTCCTGTTGAAGAGGAGAGAGAACCAAAGCAGTCAACCAGTAACACAACCTCAAGAGCCCACAGGCCCAGAGCAGCTCCTCTTGCCTTATCCAGTGGGATAATCAGAGCAAGCTAGGAACAGCTCTGCGTTCTGATGCTCACTGTGTGCTCCCAGCAGCAGAAAAAGGAAAGCCCACAGCAGGCCTCCAATCCTCTGTCAAACTTCAGCAAACTCCAAAGGGCTTTATTTGGAGCCATTGTCCACAGAAGCTCAAATCCCACAGCTGAGTTTATACTACAAAAGATGCAATGAAACCCAATTGGTGCACAACAGCTCTTTACAAATGCAGGCATCTACCCACCCAAAGAACACGTGGTAGATGGGTCTTCTGTAGCAAGAGCTGCAAACTATTAAAAAGAATCAGTCAGCTTTAAGAGATTTAATGGCAACATGCAGAAGGGGGCGGAGAGAGAGGACAGGATCAGAAAATTGCATCCTACCACACTTCCCTGAAATGCACTAACACTGGGGGGGGGGGGGGGGGAGGGACAAAGCAGTCCTTCC